TCCAGCCTCACAGCAACACACAAGCCATGACAGTATGACAAAGCGACAGACAAATTTGTCTCCCTTAGCTGTTCCAAACTGCTCCGCTCACTTTCTGGTCTCCCTTGGCTGTTCCAAGTGGCCACCCGCTCACTTCCTGGTCTCCCTTAGCTGTTTCAAACTGTGGTTGGCTCACTTCCTGATCTCCCTTGTTGTTGTTGTTGTTGTGTGCCGTCGAGTCGGCCCCGACTCATAGCGACCCCTCCTTGGGTTTCCGAGGCAGTATCACTACAGAAGTAGGATTGCCCAACCTTCCTTCCGAGGAGTGGCTGGTGAGTTTGAACCGCCAGCCATCTGGTTAGCAGGCAAGTGTCTTAGCCACTATGCTACCAGAGCTCCCTTAGCTGTTCCAATTTGTTGCCGGCCAATCCAAACAGAAATGAGATACCATCTCAGCCGAGCAATAATAGCATAGTACAACAAGACAGAAAACAACAAATGTTGGTAAGAGTGTGTAGAAATTGAATGCTCATACACTGTGGTTATGTGGAGCAAGCTCTATGGAAAATGGTACAGCACATCCTTAAAAAGTTGGAAATAGAAATACCATTTGATCCAGCAATCCTACTGCTAAGTATACATCCTAAAGAAGTGAGAGTTGGGACACATTTTTGCAGAGCTGAGATACATATATGCACACACATATTAACTGCAATACTCTTCACAATAGCAAAGAAATGGAAACAACGTAAGTGACCATCAACAGATGAATGCATAACAAAATAAGGTACATACACACAATGTATGGAATACTATATTATGTTACAGAATAATGAAGAATCTGAGAAAACAACTCAAAAATGTGGATGAACTGGGCGGACATTACATTGAGTAAAATAAGTCAATCACAAAAGGACAAATATTGTGTGCATCCACCATTACAGAAAGTCAAGGAAAAGTTCACACATGGAAAGCAACATTCTTAGATGGTTACCAAAAAGAAGAGAGAAGGGGAGAAAAAATTACTAACTAGATAAGAGACATGTATTAATCTGTGTAAAGGGAAAGGCAATATACAAAAAGTTGGTGACCACACACTATTACTAAAGAAAAGAACACAGAGAGATGCACAAGAGTTACAGACAACAAAGGTAAATACTATTACATATACAATCCTGTATTATCGATAATAACAAACATTAATCTACAAGTGGATATACAGATGTACAGACAATGTGATCAAGTTTGGGTAGGCAAATGCGACTATACTCATAACCATATATAGGTTTGGCAGACAATATTTCTACATATGTATTAGGTGTGCTGTAAAAATATCCATGTTTGTATATAACAGAGCTAACAGGGGGACAAACTTATGAAAACTTCATAGCCAAAACCAAACACCTTGAGGGAATGAGAAGGTTAAGGAGTAGAGTCATGGAGGACATTAAGGGCAACTGGTATAACACAGTTCCTACAGACAATGGTCTACATTCTACTTTGGTGAGTAGTGATTAGGGTCTTAAAAGCTTGTGAGCAGCCATCTAAGGTACAACTATTGGTCTCTCCCCATCTGAAGCAAAGAACAGTGATGAAAAGTCCAAGACACAAGTGGACCCTCCTAACCTCATCCTCCGCAGCCCCGAGACCAAAAGAACTAATGGTGGTTGGTGGTGCTCAACTACCACTGTCAACCACTCTGAAAGGGATCACATTAGGAGATTCTGAAAAGAGTGGGAGAAAAATGTGGAACAAAACTCAAAATCATAAAAAGAAGACCATGCTTACTGGTCTGATAGAGACAGGTGGGACTCCCAAAACTCTTCAAGCTTGGAACTGAAGTCTCCCATGGCTCAACTTTCAGCCAATTAATAGATAAGTGTATGGGGTGAAAAATAACTCCAAGGAATTATGCACTCCTTAGAACAATCAACCATATGAGATAAAAAGGGCATCATCTGCCCAGAGTTACAGCTCAGAAGGCAGGAATGGATAGGAAAGGACAAATGGAAATGGTAAAGATAGGGAGGAACTGGGAAGCGTGCTTTTATTTGGTGGGGACGGCATCCATTGTTGCGAAACAAAACACGTATCAACAGTGGGATGGAAAAATCAATTTGCTCTGTAAATTTTCACTCAAATCACAACAAAATGTTTGAAAAAAAAATAATTATCAAAACTGACTGCCACGCCTTTCTACCATGGAGTGGCTGGTAGGTTTGAACTGTGAACATTTTGGTAAGTAGCCAAGTGCTTAACCATTATACCACCGGTGCTTCTTTCAAGCTACTTAGAGGCTTTCAAATTTATGCTGATATATACACATCCATGTAAATAGGCCTGAGAAGTCTATATGAACATAAGCACTTCATTTAATCCAGTATAGATTAGAAGCAGACAGTTTATTATCTGCCTGGTTATTCCAAAGCTAACAGTTAGCAGGAAAAGAATATCCTAGTACCTCCTGGGCCTGTAGACCTTTCTTCTACAAGGTAATAGTAAGAAAGTCTACTTCTTCCTTTAAAAGTTACTTGAATTCAAAGTGAACAATCAATTCTATCTGACCTACAATTGTGTTTTTTAAAGCCTGCATAAATCAATATATAATTCTTAGCCAATGTTTCCCAGTAAAACCACTCAGTCAACCTTTGTACAGAAACAAGCCAAAAAAGCATAGGTAACAGTTTACATTTAATTCTCAGAACATCATTAATTGTGTAAATTACAGGGTTTCCAAATGCTCTATGGCTAAATTTTCATATTTCTTGGCCTTTGAACACATTGTTCCACTATGTCTAAATACCATGATGATCTTCCAAATCACCCCAAGAGTCTGGCCACTGAAAATCCTCAAAGCAAAACTTTAAACAAAGGTCTCTTTTTGCATAAATGCACACACATATGCACACCTATTCCATACCCATTTGTAGTAAATGACATGTAAAAATATAAAACAAATTGAAAAGGAATGTTGAAAATGTAACACTTATAAAATACGGTCAATAACTGGATATTTTAAAGTACAACAACCAGAATATAAGCAGGCAAAAGAAAATGTATATATAATACATGGAACACTGTGGCTTACACTCTTTACAATGAATGGCAGATAGATCAATAAGAAGAGAAAGAATTGTTAACATAAAATTTACTTTCAAATGATGCAGAAAATAAAATCTATTCAAGTTTTTAAAATAAATGTGAAATCTGGGGTAGTAGTAAGCCCAGAGCTCCTTAAACAGGATAGAAAAGCTGTATAACATGTAGTCTATGATTTTTCTTACTTTTCTATTTGCTTTCAGAATAAGGTTTGAAAACATAGAAATCAAACAAGAATCTAACACATGAAAGTAGACAAAAATTTTCTTCTATATTAAGCTAATCTATAGTACAAAAGAGTCTATAAAGACTGAAACAGAAACTGCTGACAGGAATGCCTCACAACTGCAAACCTTATATATTACCATTTAGAGAAATATGCTGGTCACCAAAGAAGAATGACATTAATGCAAGGACACCAACAACTAGGAAAAATGGTTTAAAATACAGATACTCAATTTCCAATTCATAACAGATCAATATCCAGACAGAAGGAAAGTGTATCAGGGTAAGATGAATATGATATATGTGGGAAGACACTGCAAGTCTACCTCCCTAAAGGAAATGAGACTTTAGGAAATATCTGATGTCTCTACTCTTGCATTTATTAGGAGCTCTGGTAGCATACTACCTAAGGCATTTGACTGCTAACCAGAAGGCTGGAGGTTCAAACACACCAGCCACTCTCCTCGGAAGGAAGACTGGGCAATCTACTTCCCTAGTGATACTGCTACAGAATCCCAAAGAAGGGTTGCTATGAGTAGGATCCAACTCGACGGCAGTGAGTTTGATTTTTTTTTTTTCCACTCTTGCATTTATTAGTGTTTCCAAGTCTACCTCTAAAGAGGGGACTAACAACATTCAAAACATAGCTTCAGCTTTATAAAACATACTGAGTTCTACAAGGAACTCAAGCCTTCTCATTCTTCTTTAACTAGAAGTAGTATCACTCACTGTGGCCTAAGACACAGTAACAACATGTCCTGGTATCTACTATAGTCCAGAGAGCATACAACAGGTGCTAGCAACACAAAGAAGCCTTCTGAGAATTTACCACCTAGTTAATGAGATGGGTTGAATATAGTAATAAAAATATTGATAGTAATAATCAGAGAAGATGACAAATGGGAAGTGCCAAGTAAGAGGAATAGAGAAAGAAAGTGAAGGCCACAGGAATTCACCAGGATAACTGAGCAAAATATCATGGACAAGCTGGAACTTGAAGTTGGCCTTTAGGAGAGAGGGAAATATCCTAGGATGGTGTAGTAGTTAAGTTGTGTGTCAACATGGCTAGGCCCGGTTGAGTGGCTGGGCAGCTGGTGGTACTTACTTCCCATGATGAACACTGGCAATCAACTCATGGTGGGATCAACCACAAGCTGAGTAGCTGCTTTAGGGATGTGGTCTGCTTCCCATAAATAAGTAGCAGCTTTGAGAATGGTCTCTAGCTTATGGCACACTTGAACCCTGCATTTAGCTGTCGTAGTTCAGCAGCCTGCCATGCTCTGCTGATCTTAAGACTTTCAATGAACTTGAATCAATGGCCTGCCATGCTCTTTGGTAACATCAGGACTGTGCCATTTTATTTGTTGACCTTGGGCTTGTTAGCCTCAGAATCCAACAGCAGCCTGAGTGACGCAAGAGATGAGAGGAAGCCCAAGGTCGGGGGGGCTTTCACACAGTCCCTAGAGTGTGGCACTTGGAACTCAGACTTCCAGCCTCCAAAAATTATAAGAATAAACTCCTGTTTGTTAAAGCCATCCCATTTGTGGTATATTCTGTTAGAACAGCACTAGGTAACTAGAACAGATATAGTGAAACTGTGTTGACCAATGACCAACTGCTTGGAAATACAGCACTGAAGGCCATAGGATTTCTGTACAATGACTATCAAAGCAAGAAAGTTCAGGCTTTTCACTTACTGCCATGTATGGCCTACACCCAGCATCTCTTGTCTTGGCAATGGAGTCCACAAGCTGTCCACTGATGCCAAAGTCACAGAGTTTAATATTTCCACTTCTGTCCAGAAGAATATTGGAAGGTTTGATATCTGTGAGAGAGAGAGATATTCAATATACATGTAATCAATCAAATGAGTTACATTCTAAAATACTTTAAGCAAAAATAATGAAACACCTTCAACTACATAAGTGGTCAAGTTCTTCAAACTCAGACATCTAAGAAGAAGCATTACATCTTCCTTTATCATACGCAATCACTATTATGTTTTGAACTTGCAACTTTAATGATGAGAATTCTGTAAATATAACACAACAATGGTATTTCACTAGCAATATCTTAATAATCCAGAAAATATGAAGGTTGATTTTTCTTTTTAACATTTTCATATTTGTAAAACATAAATAAAACTATGTTTTTTCTCTACTGGACATAAGAAGAAAACAATTTTCTGAATGCTTATGCTTAAAAACTAGATATGGAAAAATGCATCATCATAAATTAAGACATTGTAAGATATTTTCATCAAAAGGCTGCATTCATTTACTTGTTTAAAATTCATTACTTAACAGTCAATATGAGGAATATGAAGTTCAGCTATCAAAGTATACTAAATTACTTTATAGTAAGTGTAGAGGCTACAAAACTAAGTGCAAAGTATACAAATTAGAAACACACAATTTAATTACAGTAGACCCTTATATAACTCTGGAAGTATTCAAAAAACTACATAAGCATTGGGATTAGAGGATCAAAGGTTCAAAATCTGAGTCTGACTTTCAATGTGACTGGGGCAAGCTACTTCTCTTGCTGTTAGATGCCCTCAAGTCAATGCTGACTCTTGGAGACCATATGCACAACCGAACAAAACATTGCCCAGTCTGTGCCATCCTCACAATTGTTGCTATGCTTGAGCCCATCATTGCAGCAACAATGCCAAGCCATCTCTTTGAGGTTCTTCCCCTTTTTCGCAGATGCTCTTCTTTACTGAGCATGATATCCTTCTCCAGGGACTAGTCCCTTCGGATAACATAACCAAAATGTAAGAGACAAACTCTGGCCATTCTCACTTCTAACTTCTTAGCAACCACAGTTTCCTCAGCAACACAATGGAATAATTCCAATTTCATAGAGTTATGAAGATTAAAATACCTAATAAAGTATCCAAACAATACTTGTACTCAATAAATGAAGAACAAATTATTTCTGAAAACTAATTGAGAGATTTTTTCTGATCTTAGATGGCTTCAGCTAGTTTCTCCAAACCAATCCCTTCTTGACAGATTTTTCTATACCATTCCCAGAGTGGGTGGGCTTTTCTTCAAAGGTGAGAAAGCCAAATGCTTTCCATTTAGTTCTTTAGGTCTCATGTTGTTGTCAGTAGGTGCCATCAAGGCAGTTTCAACTATATGTACAACACAGCAAAACACTGCCCAGCCCTACACTACCCTCACAATTTATTCCTGAGCCCATTGTGGCATCGACTGTGTCAATCCATCTAGTTCAAGGTTTTCCCCTTTGTTGCTGGCCTTCTACTTTACCAAGTATGATATCCTTCTCCAGGGACTGATCCCTCCTGATAACATGACCAAAGTATGATAGACAAAGTCTAGCCACTGTGGTTTCTAAGGAGTATTCCAGCTGTACTTCTTCCAAGACAGATACATTTGTTTTCCTAGAAGTCCAAAGTATATTCAATATTCTTCACCAACACCATGAATAAAATGCATCAATTCTTTTGTGGTCTTCCTTATTCAGGATCCAGCTTTCACATGCATATGAGGCTGTAGAAGACACAACTGCTTGGGTCAACCACACCTTAGTCTTCAAGTGATATCTTTGTTCCTTAACACTTTAAAGAGGGTTTTTGAAGCATATTTGTCCAGTGCAATACACCATCTGATTTCTTGACTGCTGCTTCCATGGATGCTGATTGTAGATTCAAGAAAAATGAAATTCCAAAAACTTCAATCTTTTCTTCATTAATTAGGATATTGTTTATTGGTCTAGTTGTGAGGATTTTTGTTTTCTTTATGGTGAGGTATTATCTACATTGAAGAAAACAAAGTTGTCTCATCTGCATATCACAGGTAGGCTTCCTTCAATCTTGATGCTGCATTGTTCTTCATATAGTCCAGCTTCCTAGATTACTGTTCAGCGTAAAGATTGAATAAATATGGTACAAGGATACAACTCTAATGCACACCTTTCCTGATTTTAAACTATGCAATATCCCCTTGTTCTATTTGAACCACTACCTCCCGATTATGCAGTTCCTCATGAGCACAAGTTAGTGTTTGGAATTCCCATTCTTCACAATGTTATCCATACTTTATTATAATCCAAACAGTTGAATGCCTTTATATTGTCAATAAAACAAATGTAAACATCGTTCCTGTATTTTCTACTTTCAACCAAGATCTATCTGACATAACCTATGATATTCTTTGTTCCCTTTTTCTGAATCCAGCTTGAATTTCTGGAAGCTCCCTATCAATGTACTGCTGCAATAGAGGCTTGCATTTTTTTCTTTAGTTCTTTCAGCTTGAGAAATTCTGAGCATGTTCTCCCCTTTGATTTTCCAACTCCAGGCCTCTGAACATTTCATTATAATACTTTACTATCTCTTCTCAAGCTGCCCTTGGAAATCTTCTGTTCAGCTGTCTTACTTCATCATTTCTTCCATTTGCTTTAGCTACCATCTGTTCAAGAGCAAGTTTCAAAGTCTCTTGTGACATCATTTTAGTCCTTTCTTTCCTGTCTTTTTAATGACCATTTATCTTCTTCATGAATGATGTCCTTAATGTCATCCCATAATTTGTCTCCTCTTCAGTCTTTGATGTTTAATGCATCAAATCTATTCTTCAGATTCATCAAATCTATTCTAAATTCAGGTGGGATACAGTCAAGGTCTTATTTTTCTCTCATGGACTTGTTTTAAGTTTTTTCAGTTTCAACTTAAACTAGCATATGGGCAATTTTTGGTCAGCTCCTGGCCTTCTTCTGACTGAGAACATTGAGCTTCTACTTTGTAGTTGATGTGATTCCTGTGTATTTCATCTGGTGAGTTCCACATGCATAGACACCTTTTATGTTGTTGAGAAAAAATGTATTTGCAATGAATTAGTCATTACTCTTGCAAAATTCTATCATGCAATCTCTGGTGTGATTTCTATTGTCAAGGTCATATGTTCCCACTACCAATGCTTCTTCTTTGTTTCCAACTTTCACGTTTCAGTCACCAGTAATTATCAATGTGCTTTGATGTATGTTTGGACAATTTCAGACTGCACAAGTTGGTAAAAATCTTGAATTTCTTTATCTTTGGCTTTAGCGATTACGTATAAACGTGAAATACAGTAGTATTAACTGGTCTTCCTTTTTGATGTATGGATATTATCCTATCACTGACAGCACTGTACTTCAGAATAGACCTTGAAATATTCTTTTAGACAATGAATGCAATGCCATTCCTCTTCAATTTGTCATTCTCAGCATAGTGGATCATATAATTGTCGGATTCAAAATGGTCAATACTAGTCCATTTCAGGTTGCTAAAGCCTAGGACTGATCTTTATCCATTCCATTTCGTTTTTGACAACTTCCAATATTCCTAGATTCATACTTTGTACATTCCACATTCCAATTATTAATGAATGTTTGGGGCTGTTTCTTCCTATTTTGAGTCATGTCCCACAAGCAAAGGAAAGTCTGGAAAGCTTTACTCCATCAACATCACTAAAGTCAACTCTATTTTGAAGAAGTAGCTCTTCCCTAGTCATATTTTTAGTGCCTTCCAACCTGAGGGGTTCATCTTCTCACACTATATCAGACACTGTTTCACTGCTATTCCTAAGGTTTTCAATGGCCAATTTTTTCAAAAGTGGATGGCCCCATCTTTCTTCCCAGTCCGTCTTAGTTTGGAAGCTCCACTAAAATTTGTATACCATGGGTGACCCTGCTGGTATTTGAAATACCAGTGGCATAGCTTCTACTTTTTTAAAATAGAAAATGCAAGCCACCACAGTATGACAAACTGACAGATGCGTGGTGTAGGTCTTATATTTCAGCCAAATTACTCCCTAGATTATCATTTCTAACACCTTTACCTCACTGGTAATAAAATTTCTCACTGTATAGGTCCATCAGCTATCTGGCCAATTCTCCATCTTTGCTCACTAATTCTCTATTCCTATCCTACTCCCACTACCCATTTCACTGTCACTCTAATAGATCAACAACACAGAAAACATTAGAGACATGCAGGAAAAGCTTCCTACGTTTTACACACAGAGATGTAGGCTCCTTTTCAGGAGGTTGTCATGTCTAGATGTAACACTTTGGACTGCTGTAGTAGTTACTAACCCCAAAATGGCAGTAACACAGTACAAAAGACAAAAGCAAATGAATGGAGTTTGAACCATGATCATATTATGCTTGGAGCTGACCTATCTCTGGACTTATTATGACATGTAAAAATTTCCTTAAAATTTAATCAAGTTAACAGGATTTTCTGTTACTTGTAATTAAAAAATATAACCAGAGAAGAACTGCCTCCTAAAAGCTGAGTCAATCTTAATGATATGAATGGAGTAAAGTTCTTTGGACTTTCATTTGCTGACGTAGCAGCATAAAAAGCTTACTGATCTTAATTGATAAAAAGACTTATAAATTCATCATTTATTTAACAACAGAAAAACCACAGTTAACTTTAAAGACAATTTCTTTTATTTAACTACTCCCAGGTTGGTGCTTCATTGTGATTAATTAGTATCCTTAAGGTCAAATGCCCTAAAAGTAATACTCTCACAATTGCAAAACACATTCAAAAGAGGCAGAAAAAGTCTAAGACAAAAGCAAGATACACTACAAGAAGAATAAAATATGTTATTCTTAACAAGCATTAAGTCAGACTTCCACAAATAAAGAAAAAGGCATAATGCTGGCAAAGTGAGATTTGCAGAAAAATAAAATTTGCAGAAAAATAAAACAGGACTTTTATGTCACACCATATACAAAAAGAAACTCAAGTTGGATCAAAAACCTGAAAATAAAACATAAAACCATAAAGACCATCAAAGAAAAAATATGGACAAACTTAGGAGACCTGATTCATAGCATAATACACTATCAAATACAATTGAAAATGCACAAACACTAGAAGACAATAGATGACTGGGACCTCCTAACAATTAGACACTAGGTGCATTAAAAGATTTTACCAAAAGAATAAAAAGAGAAGCCACAGACTGAGAAAACAAAATCGGCACGACAGGCTCTAATCTCTAAAAACTTTTTAAAAAAACTTCAACAGTTTAACAGCAAAAAGGCAAATAATCCAAGTTAAAAATGGACAGAAGACATGAACAGATACTTAATCAAAGAAGACATTCAGGCAGCTAACAAACACATGAAGAAATGCTCACTACCATTAGCCATTAGAAAAATGCAAATTAAAACAACAGTGAGATACCATCTCATCCTAGCACTAATACCAAAGTTCAAAAGATTAGAAAACAAAAAATGCTGGCAAGGGTATGGAGAGACTAGAACCCTCATATACTGCTGGTGGGGCTGTGAAATGGTGCAACCACTGTGGAAAACAGTATGGCGCTTCTTTAAGAAGCTGGAAATAGAAATACCATGTGATCCAGCAATCCACTGTGAGGTATGTATCACAGAAAAAGAAGAGCCACGACACTGACAGATACATGCACACCCATGTTTATCCCAGAACAATTCACAATAGCAAAAAGGTGGAAATAACATAAACGTTTGCTAATCGAGAAAAGATCAACAAACTATGAGATATACACATAATGGAATATTATGCAACGTTAAAGAACAATGATGAAATCTGTGAAACAAGTCAAAACAGACAAGCTTAGAGGCCACTATGTGGTATGAAATTGTTGTTGTGTTGTTGTTATGTGCCGTCGAGTCGGCCCCGACTCATAGCGACCCCTCCTTGGGTTTCCGAGGCAGTATCACTACGGAAGTAGGATTGCCCAACCTTCCTTCTGAGGAGTGGCTGGTGGGTTTGAACCGCCAGCCTTCTGGTTAGCAGTCAAGTGCTTTAGCCACTATGCTACCAGAGCTCCTAGGTATGAAATTAGTCAACCACAAAAGGACAAATATTGTATGAGACCACTATTGTAAAAGGTCAAGAAATGGGTTTCATAAAAAAAGTAGTATTTGATGATTATAAGGGGGGTGGGAAAGGGAGGTAAACCACTAACTAGAGGGTACAGACTTGGGTGACAGGAAATATTAACTTAGGTGAGGGGAAAGGTTAAAAAAAATAAGGTGTGAATACTGTTTATATGAAAAGCTTGCAGCAATATAAACTTAGTTTTTTTAAAAAAGAAAAAGGCAAAATTAAGTGAAATGTTCTAATACTGGAGGTTAACTAGTTTCAGTGGCACAATATATACCCCTAACAAGGTAACTTAGGTAAATGCCCAATTATGTATAAATAACTAATTATTAATTTCTTAAACCACCAGACACTACGTTCCCTAATTCAAGATTTCTCATTTTTCTGAATATGACCTTTTACTTTCTATCCCATTCATTATCAAGCTGAATCACACATTGTCACATATTATATTAAAATTTTCCACTACAAATTTATTGAGGGTGATGACCCTGTACACTTCTCCAAAGCCACCACACCTCAATGTCCTGAGTCTAGCACAGTAATGAACAGAGCAAACATTTAATGCAATTATTGAATTAAATTTAAGATTCTCAAGGCATTATTGTTTTTCTAAACTTGCTCTTCAACAAATCTACATCAAATGTTTAAATCTGGGTCTGTTTCTAATAAGGGCAAGATCACTGTTTGCACAAATAAAACATTTTTATGGGAATTTAAATGTATAGCACCAATTAAAATATCTCTTTCAATTTACAGAAACATTCTCTACGGTAAAAAAGAAATAACTGATAGTGATAGCTACATGTCTTTAAAATGCTCTAGGGCTCTATTCCTCATTCTTCGTTGTCCACAAGACCATTTTGATGCCTTATTTATACAAAAAGAGATATTAATTATCTATTAGGCAAATGAATAATTATTTTTCAACTAAGAGCAATAAAAACCTACAGCAAAATCTATTTCAATTTCTAAGCCTGAAATGCTAATAAATTAGGCTGAAATCTAAAGTATCCCAAAGAGGGAAAAACTCTAAATTAGTAATAAGGTTTTGGGGTACATAAGGTATTTTTTGCTAGAAAAATCAGTATTTTTAAAAAGTAGAACTTAAGCAAAGTTTGTATCATGATATTACAATTATCAATTTTAGTCTAATTTCTCTTCTACAAAAAACTATCCATACCTACCTCTGTGAATGATTTTCAAGTTTTCTTTTAAGTGGTTTAGTGCTTTCACAGTCTAGGGAGAAAAAGCAGATTTGGAATAAATGATCATTTTCTTTTTAGTCAAACAGCACAACAGTTTATCATAAGTAATGCACAATTAGACCTTCATTGGTTTTTAAGGTTAGTATTTTAATATTTTGTTCATCATTCTTTATGCTTTATGCTAACTGAAGATGCTAAAATAGTGATCTAAAAATTTAGTTCCCTTTAAATGGCAACTAAGCTTAAAAAAAAAAAAGTGCCTTACAATTTGTTTCATAAGTTATTAAAAAGTTATGTTTCTTGTACCTGCAACCTTTTTGAGAATAAAAATATTTAGTACAAGAAAGAACAATGAGCTTCCTCCATTATCAAAGTAACTTAGTAAGTTATTCCAAATCATCAGTTACTCACAATCATTCACCTTCAAAGGATGCTAAACCTTGAAAGTAATTTTTGCAGACCCAGAGTCTCTTTGCTTAGCCATTTGACAGTATCACAGATTAATCCAGAATTTGTCCTGCTTGATCACTGCTTATGATTGGAAATCAGAGATTTCTTCAGGAACGGAGGGAAAAGACCTGAATGAAGTTTCCACAGCCTCAAACTAAAAGAGAAGTAACTGATAGGCTAGCTGCTATCCAAAGGTATTAGAAAGGTAGAACACACAATGTAACATTTGTGGTTTGAAACATACAAACACAGCATGCTTGTGTTATTAAGTAGCAAGAAGAAAGATCACTAGATTTAACATAAAGCAATTTTAAATGTTGTGCTTAATATTTAGGGTGATCACCAAGTCAAGAAACACAGGGAAATATGTAATAAATTATTAATATATGCTTATACGTAATGCAATATATAATAAAATAATTTTATCTTTGTTTTCCAACTTCATCACCCTGGAATATCAAGGTTATGGGGTCTGGGATCAGACCGCCTAGGCGTAAATCATTTACCACTTACAAATGTATGAATTTCAAAAGAAATTAATTACTTAACCTCACATGCTTCAGATTTATCATTTGTAAAAAGGAGTTACAGTATTCATCATAGAAAGTTGCTATGAAGGTTAAATGTCACAAAATCTTGGTCTGGCACAAATAAGCAATATACACTAGCTATTATCATTATTCTCTTATTGTTACTTTATAATTACTATGAATAAGAACAAGTTCTAAAATATTAGCAGGTTTAATATTGGGGATAGCTACACTGATCAACATAAAATTAATTTTCTGGTATAATTCAGCTTCATTTCAGAAAATTATATGAAAAAATATACCTTAAAGTTTAACTCATAAAATATGTAAATTTAAGAATTAATTCAGCAAAGTGACTTACAATATTAACATGAGACTTATAAATCTTAAACCATAATTCAGTGACTACAGTTTAATCCAATTAAAAACATTCCACTTATATAAACATGCACATGCACACATTTAAAATGCACACATCTCTTGCAACTAAAATACAATTCAGAAACTGTTGATAATTATAACCAGTCTTGTTATTGTTGTTGTTGTTTGCCATTGAGTCGTACTCGACTCATAGCAACCCCTCCTTGGGTTTCCAAGGCAGTATCACTATGAAAGTAGATTGCCCAACCTTCCGACGCAGGAGTGGCTGGTAGGTTTGAACTTCCAGCCTTCTGGTTAGTAGTCAAGTGCCTGAGGCACTATGCCACCAGAGCTCCTATAACCAGTCTTACTAAGCTTTAAATAACAAACTGAATTAATTGGCAATTGGCAGGTAGACTATATACTGGAGGTAGAAGACCCAGGGAAGGAAGAAACAGGAAATAACCTGCAATCAGAATATGCATTTTATAGCTTCCTATGAGATTTAGTTTACATATCAACTAATTCAGGCTATGCCATCAACTCAGAATCTCAGGGATTCCTGAGAATTATTATTAATTTTGCCCTAATTAAAGAAAAATAGACCTTCTCCTTTAAAAAAAAAAAAATTATATGCAACTTCTGTCAATGAAAAGATTCAGAGCAAAAAAAAAGTAATCTTGTGATTACTTTCAAACTTGTGTTCACTTTCAAAATCATAAACACATAAGCAAAAGAGTGCTTCTTTTCCTTTAGGAATGTTAGTAAAAGTGAACTGACCAAATTAGTAGCGACCCTGCTTCCTGAAATTTCTAGTCACCAATTTAAACAGTTTAGACTAGACAGCCCACGTTTTAAATTGCAGGAAATGTATTTATCTAAAAGCTTCAATTAAGGCACTACAAGGAAAATACTACTATTTTGATTTATCTGGGATAACTGTGTTATTATAGCTTATTTGAAGATACTCAAGAGCAACAAGAAAAAAATAGAAAATTTTTTTTTAATCTTATTTATAGTACAGTCTGTTTCGATTCTTTGTGTTGCAAATAAAATGAACATTATCAGTATTAGTGCTCTTATGACCAACTGTGTTAATTATCCCACAGAAGTGACTTACTCCCCTTCCCTTCTACGAATGGTTTTCCAAGAAGGTCAGTAACATTCGGTGAAGGACATTCAGTATATGTACTCAAAACCACAGCACTATCCTCATATAATTTTATATAGAATGAATAATTTAGCATAATTTTGAAGCACAAGTAATAAAAACAGGTACTTACTGCTAAAGTGATTTTTCCTAAAATTTCTTCTGGAATTACATCATCTAATACACTATATACATATTTGTAAAACTTATCAAACGAGGTAGACATGAGTTCCATACAGATCCAACAGTCACCCTATAAAATAATAAATATATTATTATAAATCTCTACTATCATTAAGTACCACCTTACCTTTACATAAAACAGGAAACAATCTTATTCTTTTTTTTCTTATAATCTCAAATTGGTAATGATCTTTTTTCTTATGAAAGCCATCAGCACAAAATTCTCCTCATGTTTAAATACAAACTTAAAAAATTTAAAGTCAATGTGTCCCCCTCTGAATTGTAAGAACATGGACACAGAAAGAAACTTTTCACAGAAAGTTTCTGTGCTTTTTTCAATTCAAATTTTGCCATAATTGGACATGAAAGGAGGAAATATGTGGATAATAGCTATTATCATGAAAAGAAAATAGACAACAGTAATCTTGAGATACCAAATAATCTTCTTAAATTAAGGGGAACAGTAAAGGAAAAATACTTAAAGCAAACCCAATGCTTCCAGTCCTTGTTCAAATGCTACCTTTTCAATGAGCCTAACCTAATCTATCTAAAATTGCAACACATTCCTTCTAAGCATTCCCTTGTCTTGCTCTATTTTGCACTGTGCTTATCACTGTCTAAAATAAAATAAAAATTAAAACATAATGCATTATTTGTCACCTGTCTTCCCTACTGAAAGACAGGAACTCAACAAATATTTCCTAAATGAATGGATGCTGGCTATCATAAATAATTTAAACACTGATCTCTGCATTAACTGTTTTAAACCTATGTGAAAGCGGTTTGACAATAAAACAAAAGAAATAAATGTTTTCATATCTTTTGATAATGTCATCCCATGACTGGGAATCTACCTTCTTAAACAAATGTTCCATAAATTACAAAAAGGAAAAGAACAACAATAACAAGAAACAAAGCTAGAAAACACTGAGATATTTCACAAAAGAGAATGGGAGATTGTTAAAGGGATTATCTGGAAAAAAAAATTTTAAATCTACACAGTTCATAAGAAGTACTGAATTATTATTAAGTGGAAAATACAGAATATAAGCGGACACTATGATACACATATATGAACAAGGACTACAAACAAGTACCTTATGAAAGTGAAAAACAACTATCAAGATGGTGACAAAAATTATCTTAAAATATTTTTTTATGCTGCTACTAATTTACATCCCTGGAGATTTTCTATCCACTGATCTCCTTATCCTCATGTTTGACTTGTGTCGTTTACATAAGAAATTAGTATCTGCTAAAGTAAGATAGTTTGACTAGAAAAACACAGCTAATTAGTGATAAAACTATAATAAAATTCAGTTTCCTATCTCTTTTCTACTGTCAACACTTAAAATGTAAGTATACTTATATATAGGGAAAAAACGTATTTTGATGAATATTGAGATTAGTAATATCACTTACAACAGGACCATCTGTTAGAACATTCAAAAATGTCACGGACTCACAGAATGCTTCTTTGTAAATCATATTTGACACAGTAAGATTTTACTTACATTTTCTTTAATTATTCTATTTCTTTGTCTTTTTCTTTAGAATACTCTCAGAGAATGCCTCTCACAAAGATTGAGTAACACGTCCACCCATAAAACACACATCATTTTTCAATCTAAAGATACCATCAACAGGTTCACTAGAATCTATTACTAAAGAACAATAAAACACATTTACCTCTTCTACTTAAAAGCATACAGGTCACAAAAGGACAAATATTGTATTAGTCTGTTATTGTAAAAGTTAATAAGGAAAGGTTTATCTATAGAAGGAAATTTTCTTTGTTGGTTACCAGGGGTGGGAGGGGAGGGGAAGGAACACTGTTAGATAGATAGAGATAAGTATTGATTTGGGTGAAGAGAAGGGCAATGTACCAAAT